ATTGAGAACAAAAAACAATATATTAATCACAATTAAAAGAAAAATTTTAGGTAAATTGCATTTCACATCTATAATTTTGGTGTAATATTTTATTTTTTATTCACATTTCTTAAAACTTACAAATATTCAAATTCATCTATTTTGTTAATCTCATTAAAATTCGAAAAACAAAATGTAAACTCAGCACTACATAAACATCCACGTAACAACAAAAAGGAAAAAACAAGGATCTTCTATTCGAGAGTTGCAAGGGTGAGATTAAATTAATAGAAAAGATTATATCTAAGCTAAAGGCATTGTAAACTAATTTTATCATATGTATATCATCCAAAAGAAAATGTATGCAATTTACCTTAAAAGGATTGTGTGTTGCTACAAAGAATGAAGTTGCCATCCCAAATAAAAGCCATCGTTTTGATAGATAAACCTCAATTATTAAAAATTGGTTGGATACATTTTGTTATCATCTTTTAAATTAAGGAAACTCAAGTGTTTTTTACAACAAAGGATATGTTTCAAATATTAGCCCTGTTATCATCTTTTTTCACGTTTCAAGATGACAATTTATAATAAATTAGATTATAACCCGTGCGATGCATGAAATAACTTTATTTATTTAATATGAATATATATTTGTCTCTTTTCAAAATTATATTCATATATTTAAAACACACAGCATATATAAAATTTTTATATTAACTTGTCTTTAAAAAAAAAACTTTCTGAAAACAGTAAGAAAAAAATTGTCTTTGTTTTGGATATTTTTGTTTACAATAATATTTATACACCTATAAGATTATATCAAACAAAAATAAATTATGCCTTTCTTAAAAAATATATATTACCGAGTGATAAATTAAATAATAAAAAAAGTATTAGCATACTTTCACTTAATAATCTTGACTAAATTATTATGCAAAATATGAAAAATGTTAAAAAAAATATATGAAAGAAGAAAAAATAAATTTTAAAAAAATATTATTTTTCATAAGAATGAAACTGTAATACAATAAAATATATCTTGAAAAAAAGTTATAAACAAAAACAATTGTAATAGTAATAGAATATACCTCAAAACAATTACTAAAAAATTAAAAAAAAAATGATGTATAGCATATTACATTTGTAGTCTTAAATTTACAAAAGAATTCTTTAGTGGCAATTAGGATTAAATAGATAATTTTTAAATTAATTTTTACAATTTAAAATAGATATAATAAGTAATAAAGATGATATTAAATTTTTTGCATTTATTGGAAATATAAATTTGATAATTAGAGTTCAAATGGATATAATCGTTTTGATAATCTTATTATTTAAAAAATTAAGATTAAAATTTTTTGCATTTTCAAAATCTTACATAAAGTTGCTTGAATTTTTAATAACTTACGTAAATTTTAAAAAAAAAAAATTTTTTAAATCAAGATAAAAAAGATTGTTGAAAATTTTGGATAAATTTAATCTTTGTAATTCTTAAATATGTTTGAAAGATTTTGATAATTAAATAATTATTTAAATAAGGTTATTTGGTAAACAACTAAAATTATTTATTAAAAAATAAAAGCCATATTTATATTTTTAATTTTAAAAAGTATATCTCTTAATTGGTTTGATTTTCAATTATAATTGGAATAATTTTGATGTTTGAATAAATTTAAAATTATCTAATTTGTAATTAAAACAAACTATCTTTTCTTTAAATTATCTTATGTGTTATTTAAAAGAGTTATCCACATAAGCGCCCATAAGGTAAACTTATTCATGTATGTTGTTAAAATATATATACATACATATATATATATATATATATATTAGATATGTGATTTCAATAAAGTTAGCTCAAGAACAAATTTAAATATTTGATTAAAAGTATAGGGATTAAAAATGTAGATATTATTAAAAGAGGGACTTAAACGACAGACTATACCATACAAGCAATGACTCAAATGAACAATTCATAAAAATGTGAGCAAGTAATGTCATTTGATATTTTACGAAATTAAAGATGGTATTTTTAGGCCTGATGCTGACTTGTTTGTTTGATTCATTGGTCAAAATTTTTTATTTTGTCATATCTATTCACCATTATTTATAAAATTTATTTAATTAAAAAAATAATAAATAATAAAAGACCACATAGGGGTGACATATGAATGTTTAAATTGGCCTTATATTTTCACAAAATATAGTTATTAAAAATTAAAAATCCAAAAAATAATAAAATCTTAAAAAGTACATAAACAAAAAAAGAAAAAATAAATAAAAATAAAAAAAGCTTAAAGGTACCACATGAACATTTTATTGAATTTAAAATATTAATTTCACAAATTAAATTATCAAATAATAATTTTATTAATATAATACTAATCTATAAGTATAATAATAAAAAAAAAAAATAATATATATAATTTTATATATACCTTGAAATGAGTCGAGACAAAGTACTCTAATCATGCTTCTACTCCAATCTCGTATCATATAAAAAAACTCAACCTGTTCCAACTTAATGCCAATATAAAAAATCGTTCTTGAATTGGAATGAATTGAAAGCCATCGAATATTTTGTCATCTTTATCAATTGACATTTTTTGTTACTAAATTTATCTAATTAAAATATACAAAAAAAGATGAAAGATAAAAGAAATCCAAATAGGGTATCAAGTGAATATCTTAATTAACCTTTTTTTAAACAAAATTAATTTAATAAAAAGGTATACAAAACAAAAAGAAGAAATTTTGAAAAAAAAAATCACCCTTATTGAATTGAAACCTGTCATATACGAATTGATTTCCATCCCTATTCAACGTCTCTTTTTATTGCAAAATTTATGTAATTAAAAAATAAAAAAATAGAAAAAAACCAAGTTAGGATACCGAGTGAACACTTCCATTGCATCTTTTAATAAATTTATCTAAATTAAAATTAAAAAAAGTTGACAAATAAAAAGAAAAAGAATAAAAAAAAGTAAAAAAAGAAAAGAAACATAAGGTAACAAGTTGATACCTCAAATAAAGATCAAATAAAAGCTAAAATGAATAAAATTTATATAATATATAGATGGAAGGATGGCTCACATCTTAGTTTATATAAATATTATATTTTTATTAAATTGAGATATTAAATAATAAATTTTTAATATAATAATATATATAATTATAAAACGAAATAAAGAATTTAAAAATATATAACATATAAATATACAAGGAGTAAGATGGAAGACCTAAAACCGGCCTTTGATCCAACCTTGATCTTAAAAAGAAAAAATCTCGACCTGATTTCGAATTTTTAAAATCCCCAAACATATTGGATCAGGTTACGTAGAAACCCATGACATATGACTTGTTTTGTTACCTTTACATTCATTAATTTATTTTACAAAATTTATATAATTTTAAAAAATCGAAAACTTAAAAAAAAAAAAAAAACAAAGGAAATGGCAAAAAAAAAAGGTCAAATGGGGATTATAATTTGATTAAATAATAATAATAATTTTATTAATATAATACATATAAAAATATAAAATTAAATGAATAGTAAAAGATATATTTATATATACTCGTACAAGATGAAACACTGTAAACTCGTATTCGACTTGACCCCATTTTTGAAAAAAAAAAACTCGATCCAATCTCAAATTAAAAAATACACCTATTAGATCCAAACAAATCAAAACTGATCAGATACAAATTTATTTTGTCATATATAGTTACATTGACATCTATTTTTGAAATTTTATTTATTAGTATCTTTTGGTGTAAAATTTATCTAATCAAAAAATTAAAAAAAGATGATAGGCAAAAACTAAAATAGGGTGCTATGTATACTCATTCGTTAACTTTTTTTTTTTTCAAAAAAAATTTAATTTAAAAACAAAGAAAGAAAAAACTAAAAAAGAAAAAGAAAATACAAAAACATAAAAAAGGGAAAGAAAGTTAGTTGCCATGCAACATTAACAATGATGAACTTTTATTGTTTATTTTCATATCATGTTTTAAAAAAAAAAACTAAAAAAGTAAAAAAAAAATACGAATGTAATGTCGATATCTCTATTAATATAAATTTTTTTAAAAATTATCAAACTTAAAATAGATATATTTTAATAATAATAATAATAATATCGAATGGCCTTATATGAAATCTTTTTAAAATACTTAAAAATATTTATTAAATATTAAAAAAATGAATAAAAAAATAAAAACAAAAAAAGTGAAATATGGAACCAAAGGGCTTGATACGTAATATACCTTTAATATCAAGTAAATCTCACAAAAAATAAAAATCTAAAAAATTATTTATTAAATATATAAAAAAATAAAAAAATAAAAAATAAAAAGCACATGATATACGTTAATATTAAATGGATCCTACACAAAAAGAATTTAAAATCCAAAAAAATTTATTAAAAAGTTTTTTAGAAAGAAAAGAAAAAAGTAAAAGAAGGATAAAAAAAGAAAAAAAAATTAATATAAGTAGATTCCACGTAAAAAATTTTCAAAAATTATTTATTTATTTTGATAATTTAAAAGATTAATTAATATAAAAACACAAAAAATAACAACAACATGACACGTGGAACTCCCTAAACCATCCATACACGAGTAAAAGTTGAATGTATGGATTGAGAGCATTTGCAGTTTCTCACGTCATAAAAACAATTTGCGTCGAACTCTCTTCTTTTTTTTTTTTAACAAAAGAAGCCACCACATAAACATAAAAAAAATAAATTTTTTTTAATAAAAGAGATCACAACATTAAAAAAAGAAAAAAACAAAAGATAAAATTTAAACATATGATCTATTAGATATTTTAGATATTATTAATTAAAAATAATTAATTAATTAAGTTAAACTTAATATTCATTTAAAATTTTTACTTGAACTTTGGATTCATCTAAAATTTTTAAACCAATCATATATGTCCCTGGATGAATAATAGAGCAATCTTTTCTAGTATAGCATGATTGGCTCAAGTTGCATAATTGAGGAATCTCAAAACAAGAGTCTATTTCATCATTTCTCCAAATAATCACTTAAACAAATAAATTTAGCTTAAGCATATGTGAACTATATATTTATGGTTATCCCAAGCGAGTTCCATACACCTTCAGAAGCCACAACCCTATCCTCGAGCAAGTAGAGACACCGACACAAAAGTTGTTCAGCCATGGGCAATTCCACCATCATTGAAAGATGGTGGCTTGTAACTTTTGCAAGCTTTATCGTCGTTCTTCTCTTTTTCCTCAATCACAGCCCGGGTATCAATAATATATCAGTACTTCAAAATCTGACAATGCCAATTACAGCTTCCAAAAACTTCGCCATGCCTAACATGCAGTCTCCAATGCCTCCTAACGTCATTGAGAATGAGGAACCAGCTAAATCTTCAAATCAATTTCCTATGTCCAGGTTGCAACCTTGCATACCTCTAACTGAAACATCCTCTGCTCAGATTCCCTTGTCAGGCTTGCAAAACTCAAAACCATCAGACTTCAGTGATAACGTTGAACCAGCAACACCTTCTCAGCTTCCAGGGTCAGGCTTGCAAAATTCAAATCCATCGGGTTTCACTCAAAAAGTGAAACCCGAAGCATCTCAGGTTTCCTTGCCAGAGTTGCAAAATCAGAAACAAGCAACTTCTTTTCAGCTCCCCTTTTCAGGTTTGCAAGATACAAAACCATCAGAATTAACCGATAAAATTGAAGCAGCAACGTCTTCCCAGGTTCCTGTGTTAGACGTACAGAATCAAGAACCATCCAAAGACAATGATGATGAGGACCCAATTACTATGGTGAAAGGAAGAAAATGCAATATCTTCGAAGGAAAATGGGTTTATGATCCTATTGCCAGTCCTCTATACGACTCAGCAATGTGTCCATTTTTTAGTGATACAACGAGCTGCCGAAGGAATGGACGGCCAGACAAGGAATATGAAAAATGGAGGTGGGAAGCTAATGAGTGTAAGATTCCTCGGTGAGCAACAATATTTTCTCAGTTTATAAATGATTTCGTTTTCATATTCCTTACAACCAAATGAGTGTGAGATTCATCCCCCTTCAATTGAATATTTTACTGTTTCTCTCTAAAGGTTTAATGCCAAGGACATGTTGGAGAGACTTAGAGGGAAGAGAGTTGTAATAGTTGGGGACTCCATCAACCATAGTCAATTTGAATCTCTTGCTTGCCTTTTGTATTCTGCTATACCTGATCAATCTTATGTTGATGCCCGGACTCGGGTCTTCAGGGCAGAGGTAAGGCAACATGGCCATCATATTGTTTCGATTTCTACTTCAGGATATCAGTCTCTTAATTCTTCTGTTTACTAAAGTATATAATTAAAGAAATTGAAAGTACTATCATATCTCTGCTTGATTGCTCAATTAGTTCAGGCTTTCCTTTTACATTCTTCTATATTGGGTTTCATTTTCTTTAATAACATGGTCGTATTTGATGTTACAGTCCTATAACTTGGTTATTCAGTCTCACTGGGCTGAATTTCTTGTAGAAGTACTAGTGAACAAAACGGATGGGAAAAAGACTTTAAAACTTGACTCACTTGTCCCCACTGCTAGGAAATGGAAAGACGCAGATATTATGGTGTTCAACACTGGCCACTGGTGGGTGAACCGCCTAAGGTAAAGTATCTTTCCTAAATGCATGTATCGCAGAAATATATATATATATATATATATATAATAAGTTATATGGTCAAATACGGTGAAAATTTTGCAGGTGGGACTGGTTTCAATACAAGCGGAAAGTGTTTGCAGATATGAAAATTGAAACAGCATTCAATGTTGCAATGAAGACTTGGGCTCGTTGGATAGAAAAAAACGTAGACACTAGCAAAACAACAGTGTACTTCAGGGGCATGTCTCCGCCTCATTTTGGGAAACACTGGTGCTATATATCAACCAGGCCCATCATGGATGAGTCTTACCAATTAACATTCGGTAAATCACTGAAAGAAATTGTAGAGAAAACACTTCAAGGCATGAGGACACCGGTGAAGTACTTGAACATCACAAAGCTAAGCGAGTATCGTAGCGATGCCCATTCTTCCATTTACGGAACAAAGCAAGGGAAGTTATTGATTGCAACCAAACAGAAACCCCCAGCAATGGTGGCCGATTGCAGCCACTGGTGTTTGCCTGGTGTTCCTGATACATGGAACCACCTACTTTATGCATCTATGGTCATAGATAGCTCCAGGAGCACTTCTACTTCCTGAAATTAGGATGTTCATCTCTTCTTTCTTTTAAAAAATTGTTCATAAATGGGGGGTTATTCATTGGTCAGAAGCAATAATAATTCTGGAATGCAGATGATAACCCTTTCAGAAATTCATGCTAAAATTGGTTTGCTTTGGAATTCTTACTTCACATTGATTAAAATAAATTAAGCAAGTCTTGACTCATTCTAGAGGGTTGAGTTTTATGGTATGTTGATGAAGCAACCTCATTGAGAGGATGAATGTTTTGCAATTTGCTGTTGTTGCTACAATAGTTAATATCGCAAACCAAAAATTGGAAAAAAGGGCTTCACATTAAAATTTTGTCCCTATATTATGCTCCAATATTAAATTTTGTGTTATATTTTAATTTTATTAAATTTTATCAATATACTTTCTAATTTCATTCTTTTGATTTTTTGTTAAAAAAAATGAAATTCAAATATTTAACGAATATTTCGTAAATACAAAGTGACAAATTTTTATCAAGACCATTAATTTTTAAGCAAAAGTTAATAAAATAAAAAATACAGTGTCAAAATTGAATGAATTAAAATATAATGGTAAAATTTACTATTGAGTGATGATATAGTAACAAATTGGATCTTAATCTTGAAGAAAAGGAAACTTATTTCCAACAATCAAAATTCCAATCATCATTTATTTATGTCTTAAGTAGAAAATTCAATTATTTATTTAATCAAAGAAAATTTCTCTCATATATTGACATAAAGAATTAAAGGATTAACATTCTTAAGGTATATTTAAAAAATTAATTAATATAATAAAAAAAGACAAGACGAATGTTAAGTGAAAATTTAAAAGCAACTAGTGTTGTGTAAAATAATAATCCATAATCATCCAAATCTCGGCATCTAAAGCATTAATTGCATGGATTTCTGCAAAGTATTCTAAAAAAAAATGTTATTTGTGTTGAAGTTTTTTTTTTTTTTTTTTAAATATTGCAATTTAAAAAAATTGAAATCGATTGTAAATATTGTTCTTTAAATTCTTTTTTTGTTGAATATTATTTTTAAAAATAATTGCTTGTAAATTTTCAAAACTTGTTTGATTATTTGTAATTTACTAACCACAACGGATTAGCCAATAATGCCGAAATCCTTAAAAAGTCAAGTTTTGTCAACGCAAGAGAACCCCACTTTTGGACCGTATTTTTCGGAATCTTCTTATGACAGCTTGGCCATTCTGGAAATAAGGAAAACAACAAAGACATATGCGAGTTGCGAATAAATAAAGATAAAGAAGCTTGATTGGTGACCGGAGAAGCAACCAAAGCTTAGCAGCCACACAATGCAATATATGCATTATCATTGGAATCTGACACCAGCTACTAAAGTATTGTTCAAATTTGATACTATGAACTAGAAAAACATTTAACATGATGCTTAGATTTTATTTTCTGTTTTCAGTTTTGATATATATATATATATAGTCTTTGGACTACTTGTACTATTTTAGTAATTCCTTGTTGGTTAAAATCTAATAAACAATCATTTATAGAATACTTTTTAACTTTTTTAAATTTGTAAATGCAAATTATTAAAAGCATGTAATCAATTATTTATATTTATTATCTATATTACTTATTGTGCATATATTTAATAATCTTTATAGATATTTAATTTTATCCAGATATATCTCAGTAAAGTTCTTTAATTGGACTTGATATGAGCTTAATTTGTCTAAATAAGGGTTTGAGATTTGAATTTCTTTGTATGCAAAGTTAATCCATTTTTAAAAATTAATCCAAATCGGACTTTATTCATGTTTGGGCTTAGAGCCTAAAGTGAGAGAAGGCTAATTTTTTATTTCTTTTCTTTTCTTTATTTTTTTACCTTTCAATTTATTTTCTTTTTCCTTAATCGGAAAAACATAAAAATACAAAAAAATTGAAGAATATAGACAAAAGAGAAACGAATAAGAAAAATGAAAGATTTGGATTTGGAAAAGTTGAACTTGAGAATCATAAAAAATCGATATTATTTGGATTTATGGAAATACTTAGGGCTCAACAATGGAGGAAAAGGCAAAAAAAATCAAAACCGGATCTCTCTTTTGATAAATTCAATCTTCTTTTTTTATTGAAAATTTGAATGTTCTTAAGGCTAAATTGTTATATAAACAACAAGCATTCTTCAATCAATGACGGGGAGCAATTGCCCAGGAAAAATCACAAAAGGAAGAATTAATAGTAAACACGAAAGTTTGATTCTCAATCAACCTCAAAAAACAACCTAAAAAGCGTAGAACCGAAATAGTAAGCCAAAAAAAAAAGCCACAATAATCCATCATACATAGTGCACCCACAATCAGCAACAAAAAAGAGGAGTTAGGAGGAGCATACAATCATCCCAAGCACAATATGCGGAAACATTCAATAGCAAACTTTTTAAGTTTGGGTTTTAGGTGTTGTTTTCTAAAGATTTTCCTTCTGGGTGTATTTAAACTTTGACGGAGAAAAGAAAGGGATTTTTAGGGGTTCCAAGTCTTCTGGACAACGGCAAAATAGTATTTTGGGCGACGTCAACTTTTGTTTCAAGGTTTAGATCTATGAAAATTTCGGAGGATTTTGAACATTCCAATCTAGTAGAAGGAAGATGGGATCGAGAGGATTCGAAAAACTATTTTTTAGGAATTTTCATCATTGGCAATAGACGATAGTGATAGCAGTGGGCTTCATCGAAAATTGGATTTTTGTTCTTTGGTTTTACAAAAAATTAGAGAGCAAAGAAATTGGAGAAACAATAAGGAAAGGAGAAACGAGAAAAGAGGGTTGAAACCATTTTTCAGATAAGACTTTTATCCTCCGTAAAAAATGGTAGCATTTCAACTGAAGAAGAGGTGGATCTGCACACTGTTAGATACCCTAGACCCATGACTCGTATAAAGGCAACCCACGTACAGCCTGGTAAACCCGGAACATTTGCATTTTCTGTCTTTTTTCTTCTTGTTCGTTTTTTGCTTATTTAATTGTTTGTTTATTTTTATTTATTTCTTTTATTTTTATTTAATTAGCATGTGACTTATTTGTTCTTGTTGAAAAATAATAATAAGTAGAAGTAAAAAGAAATTTTTGATTTTGTAAAATTTGCAAATTGTAAATATGTATATGATTATTTGTATCAGTGAAAATTCATTTTGATAATAAAATTCTAAGAATGCATAGGAATGTGTTATTATTAGAAATTTTTTCGTGAGAAAATTTTTTTAAAATTCAATTAAAAAGTTAGAAGATTTTAGGAAAATTTTTAATATTAAAGGTTTTCATTTTGAAATTAATAATTGTAAATAAATAAAAAAGGATTAAAATAAATTATTTTTCTTAAAATATTTAAATAAATTCGACGATAAAGTATTTTCATAGAAATGAGCATGTTATTTGAATAATTTTGAAGTAAGGAGATTTTTTAGGATTTTAATCAAAGTGTTGGGAAAAATTTGAAAAAGTATTTTCAATATTTAAATATCAAAACTAATAAAAATAAAATAAGATTACTTTAATATCAATTGATTATGGTTTAAACATGATAACATAAGATTAATTTAGTATTAATTGATGGATGTTATGGGGATATTAAAACTATTCTTACATGTGTCATAACATATGGGTCCGAAAACTCGATCGCTAGACGTAAAAATTTAAAAATCGTGAAAAACAAGGAGAGTCACCACTAATTTTTTTTAGGATGTGATTGGTCACCCAAACATTTTATTTTTTAATAAAATAGGTTTAAAAGCTTTATTAAAAAAGATAATTTTAGTATGAGAAAACAAGATTGGATTTGAGAGTCGGTTACGTATGGTGAAGGATTAGCACCCTTGCAATATTCATAAAATTGATACAAATTAATTATGTGCTATTTGTAATTTTGGATAAAAATGGTTTTCTATATGAAATTTAATTATAATTCCCTTTGTTTGTAAGAAATAAAATTAAAAAAGAGACCACATATAAACTTTCTAACATCTAGGTAGAGTTTGAGTGTGACTTTTCATATTTAAAAATAATCTCATTCGATTATTTTTATTGTATTTTTATAAACAAGATTTTAACAAAATGAAGTTATTTTTTTTAACTGTGGAAAAATCCTTTGTGAATTAAAATTTGTTAAATACCCTAACGTCTAGGTGGCATTCGAGAACAGATTATTTCACAAAAGGTTTTTAAATCATTATAAATATGAAATGAGTTTTAGGTTTTAGGTAAGTTTGGGTTTAAATTTTAAAAATGTATGAACCTCTCTAAAAGTCTCCAATATCTAGGTAGACTTTTGGAGTAAGTTCATTTTTATAACTATTCCAAAAATTAAATTTTCTTTTCTCTTTTTTATGTGTATATATATATATATATATATATATTCTTATGTGCTTCATATATATTTCATGCCTTCTTGAAAATTTTTATTATTACTATTATTGCTAGTATAAATAAACATGAATTTAGATATGAAAGATTAAATTAAAACAAGCATGGAGACCAAACAATAAAGAAATCAATAACACATAAAATTAAGCTTGCAATTGAATTTAAGCCATCATGAACAAATTGCATGAGTATAATTAAAATCAAACACACATAAAAATAAACTTTATTGAAAACAAACTTTAAACTTTATATTTTAAAATTTACTTATCACAAGAATCCAACTAAGGTGTTTTCAAAATTACCACTCTACTTTCTATTAGTCTAATCATATCAAGCCAAAAGAAACACATAGAATCCAATTGCTCTTTTACCATGGTCCCCACATCTCTTATGGAGAGTTTTGTTCCTTTTTCATATGGCTTTCTTTGTTTAATATTATTTTTTATATCAATAGAAAACAAACAACCCACATGCATATAACCCATGCCTCATACAATGACTACAAGCCAAGAAAAGAAAACAATGACCCCATCAAGTTCCCCGGAGTACAACCATTACTGCCCTATCTTCGTTGAGACACTAGCTTTCACCTACATATGACATTTCTTCTACTTCATTTTTAAACCTAACAACACAAAATAGTGGATGACACATTCAGCTTTCATGAATTTGACAACAAGGACTACAAGGACCGAACCATGATAGCACAAACTAAAAAGACAAGTTAAAATGGCCTAAAGTTTCTTACATGTAGTTGCAAGGAAAAACAAACCAGAAGCAAGGGACAT